GGTTCTACTCTGAGCTCCTCCCGGGTGACCGAGCTCCTCACCCTATCTCTAAGGGAGCGCCCGGCCGCCCTGCGGAGAAAGCTCATTTTGGCAGCCTGTATCTGGGATCTTCCCCTTTCGGTCATGACCCAAAGTTCATGACCATAGGTGAGAGTCAGACCAGTAAATCGAGAACTGGCTCCTCTCGATGTGGAGGAGCAGCAGTTCTACTCTGAGCTCCTCCCGGGTGACCAAGCTCCTCACCCCATCTCTAAGGGAGCGCCCCGCCACTCTGCGAAGGAAGCTCATTTCGCCTGCCTGTATCCAGGATCTTGCCCTTTCAGTCATGACCCAAAGCTCATGACCATAAGTGAGAGTCGGAACGTAGATCAACCGGTAAATTGAGAGCTTCGCCTTACAGCTCAGCTCCTTCTTCACCACGACGGACCGGTACATCGACCACATTACTGCAGAAGCTGCACCAATACCCTCACTCATGAACAAATCCCCAAGACATTTAAACTCCTCCACTTAAGGCAGGAACTCCCTACCAACCCAAACATTAATGTTAATGTAATATCTTAAATGAAAAGAAACAGGTAACTAAACCTGAGACTAGTCTCTCTGAACAACTGATCTCCACAATAAACTAATGCTATATGCAACCACACCCCCTTATCAATGACCAGATGACAAAAGCAGAATAAGCGTTTAACAGTGAAATAAATAAAAATACTGTGACATACACAGCTGTCTGAGGCCTCAGAGAGCTCAACATTAAACTTGACTGTCTACAATATAAGAACGGCAGAGACAGAGGCAGGGCAAGAGCGGCCAATTTAAGAACCTATGTCCGCAAGGAATTAAATGATGGTTTGTCAGAGAATGTTGACAGTAAAGTCCAGGCCAGAATGAAACTCCCTCTATGCCCCCCACTCTGTCATGACCAGTGACAGCCATTTCCTGCCCCTTTTTTCCACCCCTGATTCTTGGGTAATTCAACCTGTACTTCCAAAGATAGGACTGCAGCGGCTGAGTGACATCACCCAACCATTCTTATACAAGAACAGACAAACTTTTGAAGAAAGACAAAAGAAAATAAACACTGAAATTTATCAGCTGCCAAATTCATACTGATTCACTGTTACATAAAAGTGGCTCATCAACTGACAATTTAAGACAAAGTAAAAGTTAGATGAGAGTCACTCAGCCCAAAATGTTAGCAGGCATTCAGACTGATTGCGTAAAAATGCAATTCCCTGCTGCGTTGGTTGGGTGGATGAGCAGTTGCAGGGGGAGTGTCGTAGGAGTGTACAATACAGCCACATTGTGATGAGTGAACTTGAGTGGTTTCATTTACATTTCCAGCCCAGGAGCTGTTATTGTGTTTTGGTTAGCCATGCTGCTAACCTAGCCTACTCTACTTTAGCATCAATTCTACCACCAGTCTCTCAGCATTGATAGAGTTAACACTTTACATCCAGTACTAATGAATGTGCATGGTATGTCATAATGGCCCAAATTCAACAGTGAATGCTCATGCTAACAAGGTAAACAAAAGATTCTTGTGGGCATCCACATTCCAATACCCCACCCCATGAGAATGGAGAGGGCTGCATTTTTTTCACACTTTTGAAACTTGGTCTGAACACAGCTTTACACTCATGACAGTGGCCAGGCCAGCTTGTCTGGTTGCTGGTATGTGGCATTAAGCAAAACAAACATGTCAGCCTGACAGTTTCCCCCTATTTCTACAACACAAAGTCCTCAGAGAGTAAACACATTGGATCCAAATATTCAGACTGTGGAAGAGGACATTGCTGACTCCTGTTCTATATCACTGGAGTCAGTGACTGTTTAAAGTCTGCAAGGTCAATCACAACTGCAAGACAACATGAACTGGACTAATGGACCAAGACTGTGCCAGCTGACTTCTTTCAGATCATCATGTCCAAAGAGAACTGACTTGTGCAAAGTCTTAATGTTAGTATTTGTAGTGTACAAGAAAGAGTGCTGGATTAATGTACTTTTTTTATAGCTTCCTGGCACTGGCATCTGTCAAAAACCCTGCTTTGCAAAACAAATGGTAAGGCGCACACAGGTGTAAAAGCAGAGTGACAGCAGAGTGCTTTCATTAAAAAAAAAAAACAGGAGAGGCGCCAAAAGCAGAACCAAGTTTGGAACAGATACAAAGTAATCAGTTGGACTACCTTTGAATCATCCTGTGTTTTTGAACTACATACCAGGAAAAGTCTCTCAACTGTAAATTATTCACTTTCTTACCATGATAACCAGCTTTTGTGCAATTTATTAAGGTATAGCCACTCCATAACCTGACATTTTTAACATATTTTATAATCTTGTCTCTAGAACATATAGCCGTCCTAAGGCCATACTGGGATACACAAGGGTTCTATCGCAATACAAGATGAGGGACATTACTGACATAAAATAAGTAAGAGCTTAACTCTGATATCTAGATTATTTCTAGATTAAAAGTCCCCATATAAACAGAGGTACCTGAGTAGATTTAGTCAGATTTATATTTAATAGTATAAAAGGGCACTAGAAAGCCAGAAAAACATTGACATTATCACTTGCTTCACTCACCGAGGAGCCAAAACTGTCACACATATCAAGACAGTGTTTACAAACATGAAAACATATTCCATGCTTTAAATTGTGGAAATTTTTACCTGTACTTTTCAATTGAAATCGTATGATGAAAGAAAACACTGTCACAAATCATACCAAACTCTAAGTATATGCCTTGAATATAAAACAGTCACCATGTGTAGGCTTAAAACATGTTTTATGTGTGGAGTTTGCTCTTTGACACAGAATTGTGGCTGTGGTGGTTTTTAATGGATTCAGATGGTGATTTTGATGCATACAAAAAGAATTCTCCATCCTTGGTATCTTTCACACACATGTTCTTCTAAACAAGGTCACTGTACAAGTACAGCAAAACTAAAACCAGATTCTTGGTGAAGTATCACAAGATAGGATTAAAAAAAATACTGTGTAGCCATTCTGATATCATTCAGAATGATGCCATGTCTCAGTAGACCAATGCCAGGGCTCTCAAAATGCTTTCAGTGATCTGGACCAGGAACTGGTAGGCCCAACTACAAATATGCAACAAGATGCAATGAACCAAGTGCCTTGTGTTCAGCTTCTAGGTTTCCCACCCAAAACACTTTTGCATAATGTGAAAGTTTAGGCCCAGACACTTTGCTCCACAGACCCAATATTTCTACAACAAAACAGCACTTTCCCCTGGCTTTCAAATAAAGGCCTACACTTCTATTACCATTTACTATCCGGGCATTATTAAAAGTGCAACTGCAGGTGTCTTATTAAGATGTCAAAGTATAAGACTACTACATCAATCTCAATATCTGCTCTAAATCCAGCTGAGGGGGTGTATCCGCACATGTGATCTGCTCACTGATGCGATTAAAGACGAATACGTCCTTTGCCTGGTCTACAGAAGCATTTGTGAAGTTTCAATTCAGAATTTCAAACAATCAGTTCTTTGCAACAGGACAACTGATTATTCGCTTCAACGTTAATACTTATCGCATAAAACTACCCTAATGTGAAATGCAACTGCACAAGCCCGTCAACTCTGATGTAAACTAAGCGCAACGTGGTTCATCTGGCTTGCCCCATTTAATAACAAAGCGCAGCCTGAGTGTGTTTCTCTCCCAAACGGGGTGGGGGTGAATGAATGATAACGACTGTTGATGCTTCATCATGTTGTTCTTGATGGATGAAACAATCGATGGATGAAACAAGCTGCTTAAATAGATGTATTCTGGCATTAGATGATAAATTTCGAATACATTTCGAATCGAGTGATGAGAGTTGAAGAGCGTAAACCTGGTGAAATAAATTGTTTATTCAGAGACTTTGGGAGGAGCGGCTGCATCATCTTACTTCTATAACTTATTGTAGCCAAATGATGTGGGAAACAAACATTTAAACCATCGCTACTTGCAACAGAATGGGACTTGGGTGTGCAAACAATACGTGAACAGCATCTGCGTCCCTATGGCCACCGAAGCCAGATGGCTTGCAACTGCAAGACAATAAACTCGAACCTCAAGCCATGAACTTCACTTTACCTGACAGTAAGTGAAACAAAAACACAGCAGCATATTCCTCTCTCTAAGTCCAGCCCAGAATTCAATTCGTGCGCGACTTTTCCCTCTAGATACATTTCTACAGTCGCACAAATATAATCGAAATAAGATAATCATTAATAATAATCCTCACGAGTTTCGCATCTTTTCGTCACGTTTACCCCAAAAATATTCTCCTTATGACTTCTCATTCACTTTGTTTAACTGAACGACCTGAACTAAACGTTCCTTGGCATAAACATGAGGCTCCATCCAAATGACAACAAACGAGTGGCACATGGCTCTGGTTTACAAGACCACCTCTCTCTAAAGTTACTCCTTGGATTGAGTGCAACATGCAAGGTTACTATGGAAGTTACTGCAGAACACATAACTGCCATAAAAGCTATTTTCAGCTGACGCCTCTTATAACGTTTTTTTTAACCAGCAGTTAGCTATGAAAGCTAACGTGCTAACAAGATGTGTAGCGTAACACGTCTGGCTAGTAACGTTAACGAATGAGAAGTTCAGAGAACACTGCTAAGCTGGTTAACCAAATAGCTAGTTACACAAATACGCTCGACACACCACGTAGACAAAAAAGTTGACACAAACAAATTTTCATTTCCGCAATGAATAACACCTGTGTTATTGAAAGCAAATACAATTATAGTTTACCTCTATTTCAAAGTCTGGAAGGTTGAATGCCGTCCTGAACAGCGAGCAGAAGTGGGCTATGGCGGGGACTTCCCACCAAGACTGGATCTCTTCCACAGAAACTGTACATCCCTGTGACATTTTCGAATTGTAGAAATTGTGTTACGTTGTTTCTTACATTAGAAAGTAGTTTCTTCGGCGACTTATAATGTCTCAACAACATTACATATACAACAAAACTTGCTGCCGACGTCTTATACGGACAGTTGCCATTGCGACCCGGGGAGCGCTACAATCTGTTTCAATCAGAGTCTCACGGGAGCTGAACAGATGGGAAGGGCGATACCACCGCACGCTATAGAGGGGGAAGCGACTAATCAATTCTACTTATTAAACTATGTCTGAGCATTGGTAGTCATTATAGTGGTGAGCATATTGATCTTTTGTGGCAGTAAACTTAATGTGTTAAACATGTGTGCAGTTCAATTTATCTGTTCGTTATAATCGCAAAAGGTCTATAGTTAAATGCACCCCACCCGTTTCCGTAATACGGCGGCCGTTTAAAGGGAATACTTTTAATAGTGACTGAATAAAAAAACTGATAAGTTGAACCAGGTATGAGCCAGGTACGCGGTTTAAGTTATAGCCTATCGGTGCGCATTTCCTCATTGTTTGCCTGATTTTAGTACACATTATTTGATATAGTTTACTATAGGCTGCTTTCGTTCATTACACACCGCCTTTCTGACGTAGGCCTAGCCTACTTACAAGAACAGCAACCATTTTCAAACAGGCCTGTTCAGCTAGTTGGTGGCATTACAGGTACATTTTGTAAACAACATCGCGGGTCAGGTTTGGGGCAATGCATTATACAGGGGCTCCCTCTACTGCAATATATAAGAAGTGCTGCTATGGGACAGCTGTGGTGCTAGTGACAGAGAGTGACATGTTGCCACCCTGTCCTGCAGGGCTGTTTTTAGAGTTGAATACCTATGAACATATCTCTGTTTAAATCCTGTTTTAAATGGTATGTCATATCAGACCTTACGCACTCTTTTATCCTTTCTAGCTCAAGTTTCTGTTATGGGGATTTTAAAAGTAGAAACACAAGTCAAATAGCACCAGAAAAATGTTAGTGATTTTTCTTTATAAAATACTAATTCATATATAGCTTGTGTGAATTCAAAGACTGAGTAAAATGCATGTATTTAAAACACTATATTAACCTACATAGAAAAGTCACTTTCGGCTTTTCCTGTTTTAGGGGTCGCCACAGCGAATCGTCACACTGGCGACTCGCATGTTGACATTTGGCGTGTGTTTTACGCCGGATGCCCTTCCTGACCCTGATTCGAACCCGGGCCGCAGCGGCAAGAGCACTGCGCCTTAACCACTAGCCTACCAGGGACGCTCCACTATATTAACCTACATAAATAAACATAAATGGTTATCAGGCCTTTGCATGCAAATACCAAAAACTTAAAGTCCATTTAAGGGGCCCCTATGCTGCAGCTTTACAAGTCTACACCATGTAATATTATTAAGTTGTATTATTAAGTTCTTACCCAGTAGTTATGCCAAAAGCTGTAATGTGTGCCCTGGTGGAACTAGAGGAAAGGCACTAGACTCCATCCTCATCCATTCTTTAAATATACTCACTTAACCTAAAGAGTTGCTGGAGTCGATCCCAGCTCACATGGGGCAAGTGATGGTAGGTAGGTAAGTAGGTAGGAAGGACTTTATTGATCCCACAATGGGGAAATTCCTGTGGAGCACATCCTGGACAGGCCTCCAGTCCATCACAGGACTGACACAGAGACAGACAACCATTCATGTAGAGGAATTCATACAGGGAATTTAGAATCACCAAGCTAATCTGCATGTCTGTATGGGAGGAAGCTAGAGTACCCAGAGGAAGCGCATGAGTCATGGGGAGAACATCCCAACTCCACACAGAGAGGCCTCAGCCAACCTCTTTGCTGTGACGTGATTGCTAACCACTGCACTGTGCTATGATCAGTACGTTGCATGGTATGAAATTAAATGATTTATGAAACATCTTGTGTGTAAGTTGAGATTTTGGCCTAAAGGTGGTGCAAGAGAAAAGCTCCTGAGTTCTCCAACACAGAACAGGTTCAGGGTCTTGGGAGCATTAGATGTAAACACACTGTACATATTATAAAGTATAAGCCGAGTACATTCAGTGATAATCACTTGCCACAAACACATACAGAGTACATTTTGATCTATGTCTTGTCTTGTCAGTCCATTAATCCAAATTCCCACAGAACCTTCACTGCCTACCTTTGCTGATGTAGTGTTTGCTGTTTCCACAGTAACACAATTTTGATACTGTTGCCCTTCTGAAAAAGAAGGCTGTGAAAAAGAGGAGGCTAGCCTCATGGTACAGCTCGTAGCTCAACTCTTTAAAACAGGCATCTCTAAGTCAGAAGAGTTTATCTTATCCTGGAAAGATAGTTTAATAACGTATAAAAAAAAGCCCTTCGTAGTGCCAGAACCGCATATTATTCATCACTGACAGAGGAAAATAAGAACAACCCCTGGTTTCTTTTCAGCACTGTAGCCAGGCTGACACAGTGCCTTTGAGCTTAATATTCCCTTAGCTTTCAGCAGCAATGACTTCATGAGTTTCTTCATAAATAAAATCACAACCATTAGAGAAAAAATGAATCTAACCATTCTCACAACTCTCACAGACATGCCATCAAGTACAATGGCTTTAGTATCATCTGTAAGACCTCATTTATACTTAGACTACTTTTCTCCCATAGATTTCTCTGAGTTGACCTCAACAATTGCTTCATCTAAATCATCAACATGTCTCCTGGAGCCTATCCCGACCAGGCTGCTCAAAGACGTCTTTCCCCTAATCAACACATCCATACTAGATCTGATTAACCTCTCTCTATTAACAGGTTATGTTCCACAGGCTTTTAAACTTGCAGTAATTAAACCTCTACTCAAAAAGCCTACTCTTGACCCAGGTGTCCTAGCTAATTATAGACCAATATCCAATCTCCCATTTATTTCCAAAATCCTTGAAAAAGCTGTAGCAAAGCAGTTATGTGACCACTTGCACAAGAATGATTTGTTTGAGGATTTTCAGCCAGGATTTAGAGTCCATCATAGTACAGAAACCGCACTGGTGAAAGTCACCAATGATCTTCTCCTAGCCTCAGACAAAGGACTTGTCTCCATACTTGTCCTCTTAGATCTCAGTGCTGCTTTTGACACCATTGATCACAGCATCTTACTGCAGAGACTTGAACATGTTATTGGGATTAAAGGAACTGCACTAAGTTGGTTCAAATCTTATTTATCAGAAAGATTTCAATTTGTTCATGTTAATGACGAATGTTCCACACAAACTGAAGTTAGTCACAACGTTCCACAGGGCTCTGTGTTAGGTCCAATTCTCTTCACTTTATACATGCTCCCTTTAGGCAATATTATCAGGAAGCACAACATAAATTTCCATTGCTATGCAGATGATACTCAGCTATATTTATCTATGAAGCCAAATGAATCAGGTCAGCTGGTCAAACTTCAAGCATGTCTTAAAGACATAAAGGCCTGGATGACCTGCAACTTCTTACTTCTAAACTCTGACAAAACTGAAGTTATTGTGCTTGGGCCTGAAAACCTTAGAAATCTGCTGTCTAATCATATAGTTACTTTAGATGAGTAACTCTTTACTATCAGTGCTGCTGATAGTAGCAATAATTCCATAAAAAGCCTCCAGTTAATCCAAGATGCTGCAGCCAGAGTACTGACAGGAACTAGCAAAAGAGATCATATGGTATGGTAGGACTTTATTGATCCCACAATGGTGAAATTCCAGTGTTCCAGCAGCATTAGCGAGCAAACAACAAAACACCACAAGAACAGCAAAACACCATAGGGACCTCTGAGAAGCAAATCAAAGGCACCTAAAAACAAGACAAAACATAGCACTTGAGAGAAATCAAGAACAAGAATATTGCTCCCTCAGTTAATTCCACAATGGGGAAAACCCCCATATATTAACATCAGTAGAGACTAAACAACAAACACCGCAAGGATCTCTGAAAAACAAATCAAGAATACCCAAAAACAAGACAGTACAAGCATTTCAGAGAAATGAGGAACAAGATATTGATCCCACAATCAATCCTACAGACAGAGCAGTCTGTGGTCAGAGCGGGGGGCAGAAGTGTATGCATTCCTACCATTAGCATACAGTAGGTCCAGAGTTTTATTGTCCTTTGTGTGGCAATTAACATACTGAGTGAAGTTATCTCTCCCATATTAGCTTCTCTGTACTGGCTCCCTGTAAAATCCAGAATAGAATTTAAAATCCTTCTCATAACATGCAAAGCCCTTAATGACAAGGCTCCATCATATCCTCATAGAGGAGACCTCATAGAGCCTTATCATCCCAACAGAGCACGTCACTCTGGTTCCTAGAGTCCACAGAAGAATGGGAGGCAGAACCTTTAGCTATCAAGCTCCTCTCCTATGGAACCAACTCCCAGTCTCAGTTCAGGAGGCGGACTACCCTCTCTACTAAGACTAGCCTTAAGACTTTCCTTTTTGATAAAGCTTATAGTTAGGGCTGGATCAGGTGACCCTGAGCCTTCCCTTAGTTATGCTGCTTTAGGCCTAGGCTGCTCTGAGTTTTTCCTGTTACGGCATGCCGTAAGTAGTGTGCTTATTTTTCTTTTTTACGGACTCAAAAAACTGCAGGACTCAAAACTCAGGCTTGACAGGGTAAACAGAATTTTTAATGTGCAGATAGGGGGTGTGACAGAGCTGACTTCAGCCGTCGGTCGTGGGGCAGCTGGGAGCACTGACTGGACTAGATTGCTGGTGTGGCAACTCGGGGTTGGTGGTTGGAGATGGACGCAGTGTGCTAGAGGAGGGCAGAAGGAGAGAGCATGAGAGAATGGAACAGGTATGGTGAGGTATGTGGCTAATTCTGGTGGATTACAGGGGACCTGATAGCTGACTGCGCCGAAGCGTGGCTGGTGAGCACCGCAGGCTGAAGAAGCAGTCTAGGGTTGCAGGAAAGCGCACAGGAGAAAGCTGGTCTGACGAGCAGGTCCACAGTAGAGCAGAGAGGAAGATGACGTGAAGAACACTGAGAGGGAAAATCCAGGTGAGAGCAGGTATCCTCGCAGGGCGGAAAACAGGCAGCAGTTACTGGGGAGATGACAAGCAATCATCTGGCGGCGAGGACACCCCAACGCTCTCCCTAAGTACTGCTCTGATGATTGTGAGCAGGTGTGCCTCATCACCTGGACTGCACTCCCACCTGTGCAGGGGCGGAGCTGCTGGGAGCACTGGCATTACCTGACGAGGTGCTGGGGGTGGCCACGGCCGTGGACGTAACATCTCCCCTGGTATCCAGGAAAAAACATGACTGGTAGGATATTTACTCAAATACTGGTCTTTAGCATAACTGTTTACTTATTCTACTTTATAGAACACTACATTACATAGAGAGAAATATTGCACTTTTTATTTCACTACAATGATTTGAAAGCTCTAATAGGGCTAATGATTGATTTGGCAAATGAAAGGCACTAAAATCTGTAAATCAACACAAGAGCTTTCAGTTTCTCTGCTGACTAAACCTTTAATTAGGCATAAGCCATATTTTACCTGTTAGAATAAAACTGACTGTGTGGGATATTTCATTGTAATGACAAGTAGTATCTGTGACCCTCATATTTATGTGCAGTGACTTTGATATACAGGTGCAGCTCAATAAATTAGAATATTGTAGAAAAGTCCATTTATTTCAGTAATTCAACTCAAATAGTGAAACTCATGTATTATATAAATTCAGTACACACAGACTGAAGTAGTTTAAGCCTTTGGGTCTTTTAATTGTGATGATTTTGGCCCACATTTAACAAAAACCCACCAATTCACTATCTCAATAAATTAGAATATGGTGACAATTACAGCGTGTTCTTTTATGAACAATAATCAGAGTCAACTATCACCTTTCAAACATTTATTATCATAACTGAACAGACCATCGAATAAAGCAATTTACAGAGCTCTGGGTTCCATCTCTATCCGAAGCCCTAATCTCAACAGCAAAACCATTCAATTCGTCTTCAGGACGAGAAGGAACACTGTCCTCCTCCATTCAGTTGATTTTATACAATTTCAAATGTGCCCTTGTAGGCTGGTCCGGTCCTCTCGTGCTGTTCTATTGGTCCATCTATCCATCCGTCCTCCTCCTGCATCTTTTCTGCTCCAATGGGAAAAGCAGCTTCCTAAAGATGGAAGAAATTCTACTGTCTGAATTCCTACACTCACTTCTTTCTTTGTTACACTATATGTGACATGGCTTCCCGTTTGGCTAATTAAACTGTCTTGCCTGTGTGTGTCTGTATATTGCCCTGCCTTTGAAGTTGTCTTCCTCTTGCTGACTTTTAGATCTAGTCTCTTGTTTATTAGCCTGGGTGTCCCTGTGACCCCAAATTCCCTGGCCTCTTCAGCCAGG